ACATTTTCGGTCATGAACAATATTTGCATCCGCTGCATTTGCATCAGTTATTCTAGTTGCATCGACCAAATACTGGCTGGATACCTACGTTGTATATGCACATACATATGTGTGGAGATAGTTGCAACTGCATAAGTGTGTAGATATGTATGCAGTTAAACAAAAAGTGAAGTGCAAGTACATTTGTACAAAGCGCAGCTGCAACAACGTACATGTGTACATACATATGTAGGTAAAAAGAGGAAAGTGCAGTGGAAATATGTATATACAAATGTACATATGTGCAACATACAATTACCATGTCATGGGGGTGCTATTTTGGACTTAACGCGTTTTGGAAATACGTTTTTCTTTTTGTCTAGGTACGATATGTGCAACATATGTATGTACAATTAGCATACATACGGCACAATATGTAGAGCTACATACCGCCGTTTAAAGTACAAAACCGCGTATCGTCGCTCTGCAAAGCCGCGTAAATTACCTTTTTTGCCAAAAATTGGATTAGCTAACAATAGCTCTTGGCTCAAGCCTTATCCATTCGTTCTGAAATATACTAGCCAGAAATGCGATTGCTTTACAAAAAAGAAAACCATTTTGACATATGAGAGTTTTTACGCTCTGGAATATAATTTATGCAACCTCACATACGCGGTTTTTCATTATCTTGATACGCAGTTTTGTACTTTAAACGACGGTATGTGGATACACTTGCCTATGGCCATAATATATAGACGCTTCAATGAAGTGTTTTTTTGGTTTTGTTGCGATATTTTTTGTTATATATTATTTTTTATCAAATTTTATTTTTATATTTTCTTTGCAGGTCGTGGAATACAGACAGTAGAAGTCAGCGGAGATTAGATATATATATAAATTTTATCTCTAATTAATTTTATTACTATAATATAAAAATATATATTTTAATATATAAATTATTTATTTTTAGCTATTTAAATTTTTTTAATTTTTCGTTTAGATTGTATATATCGGAGTCATTGGATAATGAAGGTCTTCAACATGTTGGATGAAAGGGCAAGGGACAGTCTGACAAAGCATCCTTAGAAATGTCTCGATTCAGACGAGGTAGTTGCTTAATTACTAATGAACTTCAATTTTGCATACTTATAATTGTTTTATTTATTTTTTTAATATTTAGCGGAAACTCATCAAATTGCAATTTAATCTAACTGAGGATGAGGAAAATTACGAATGTTTGCAAGCGCCAGATGAGATAATTGTTTTAGACACTACTGCTGCATCAAGCCAGTCACAAGACATAACGCTACAAGCGCCACTATCGAATTCCGAAAATTTGGTTACACATATATAATATATATCTAGGTCTATATATAAGTCGGAAAAACGCAATCAAATTTTGCAAAATTGTAATGAAACTGAATTTTTGTAAACCATTATAAATGATTTGCAACTTTAAATATATATCAAAAGAAAGATAAATCGATTACCTTTCTGTTGATTATAATACTGTTAAAATCGCTTAAATTTTTTATAGAAATTTTGCAACTTTTGAAAGCGTCTATATATAAGTCGGAAAAACGCAATCAAATTTTGCAAAATTGTAATGAAACTGAATTTTTGTAAACCATTATAAATGATTTGCAACTTTAAATATATATCAAAAGAAAGATAAATCGATTACCTTTCTGTTGATTATAATACTGTTAAAATCGCTTAAATTTTTTATAGAAATTTTGCAACTTTTGAAAGCGTCTATATATAAGTCGGAAAAACGCAATCAAATTTTGCAAAATTGTAATGAAACTGAATTTTTGTAAACCATTATAAATGATTTGCAACTTTAAATATATATCAAAAGAAAGATAAATCGATTACCTTTCTTTTGATTATAATACTGTTAAAATCGCTTAAATTTTTTATAGAAATTTTCCAACTTTTGAAAACAGCTATATGCAAACGAGTGGTAGTAATAATAAGCAATTAAGCAACCACATATGTATGTAAAAATATCTTTATTATTAATGTTAATTGTAATTTTTATTCATAATATTGATTACTAACTATTTATATTAGGTTAGCAATGTATTTTGAAAAATAAATTTTGCCAAATAAAAATCAAAAAAAATTTTAAGATTTTTTATTTACAAGTTTTTAAGGTTATTTTGAATTCGCTGTGAAGAGAATGCAACCCTGCGCCAGCTGAAGTGGGCAATGCTAGACGAGTGCAGCTATATGTTTTCCTTACGAAGTATCTGAATGAGTGCGACTGTGATGCAAGGCTCACACGTACAGGGGGAAAGTGGTGACAATCTGCACACCGCCCATACAAATGTCACCAGTTTTGAAGTGACCGAAACCCGCGGTTTCACCAGATTTGTCACCACTTTTGGCTGGCGGGTACTTTATTTCAGATAATTTATATATATATAAATACGAATATATTAATTTTTTTTTTTATTAGCCGTATCCTACTGTGTGTCAAACTGTACAGCCTTAGCGCATCCAAGTTCAATAGTTACAGGCCAAAGTGGGTGGGGCAAGCTACTTTATTTAAGATAATTTATATATATATATATATATATATATATATAAATATGAATATATTAATTTTTTTTTTTTTATTAGCCGTATCCTACTGTGTGTATAATTTCATCAAACTGTACAGCCTTAGCGCATCCAAGTTCAATAGTTACAGGCCAACCTAATATTCACGCACGCCGGCAGTTTACTGTCAAAAATTTCTCATGCATATACATCTTGTATGGGACCAACCGAAATTGACCGGCGTGCGTAAAAAGCTAACTCAAATTCCAAGATTTGTGTTGTGTGACATTTTGATTTGACGTCTGTGCTCTATGACATTTTGGCGCGACAATGAATTAAAATTTTGGAAAAAATGCAGAATAGCTTCGATTCTCAAATTAAAAAATCGATCGATAGAGATCATTGAGGTGAGTATAACGGTATATTTCTTTTCTTGCGAAAATAACGACTACAATAGTTATTAAGACTCAAAGTTCAAATTAAACAATTTTTAAATCCAAATTTTTTGAAAACGAATGCATGGATTTTAAAAATTTCGATCTCATTTGATAGAAAATTTGATTCCCTTTAATTTGATATAAATATAATCCTCCCTAAGTAGAATTTTCCTTTCTGTGTTGCCGCAGAAGGGAAGCGGAATTCCTTTCTGCGTACATTAATTAGATTTTTGTGAAAACTAAACAAGGCATATATAAAGTAAGTATATCAAATTAAAGGGAACTAAATTTCCTATCGATTGAGGTCAAATCTTTTAAAATCCATATATTACTTTTTAAGAATTTTTTATTTAAAAAATAGTTTAATTTGAACTTTGACCCTTAATAACTTTTGTAGTTTTTGTTTCCGCAAGAAAAGAAATATACCGTTATACTCACCTCTATGTTCTCTATCGATACCGTACGTTTTTTTTAATTTGGGAGTCGAAGCTATTCTGCATTTCTGCTCAAATTTTGCTCAACTTCTGAAATTGGACAGAAATGCAACTCTGAAAAATCACGCACGCAAATTTATTTCGGTTACTCAAATGNGCTCAACTTCTGAAATTGGACAGAAATGCAACTCTGAAAAATCACGCACGCAAATTTATTTCGGTTACTCAAATGTGAAGAACTTGCGTGCGTGCGTAGAAAAATTCACGCCGGTAATATTAGGTTGGCCTGTTAGGATGTGTGGTTGCTTGTGTATATAACCCCTGCCAGCCACGGCTCACCACTTTCCCCTGAAAATCAAACGATTTACAACTACATTCACAACTTTTTAGTCATCTCACCCACACACTTACAAATTTTTTGTTCGAACTGTCAAAAAAATGTCCCTTTGTTAGAGTTACATACCCGATATGAATTCGTACTCTAATAAGAATTCTATGCGTTAGAACGAGCAAGTTAGAAACATCGGAGTTTTGATGACAGTATACATACTGTGAAGAAATGTCGCTGCGAAAATTTTGAAGGTAAGGATACGTATTTAACAATTTTATTTAATTAGAATGTAATTTCTTCCTTTAGATTGCAAAACAGCAGCGACTTAGTCACATTCTTAAGGTAGGTATTGAGACTTTTTATATCGATGGCTGAGTGGAAGATCGACCTATCTCGGCAACCAGTTCGAAAA